GCTTAGTTCAAATTTGCTAATCACGTGACTGGTCTTTCAGTATATCTCAGTCAAATGTAGGGATAACAATTATGATCAATATGATAGATACCCGCACCGAACTGCCCCAATTAAACGGGAGAAACTACATTTATCATGTAACGGGCATTGCGCGGAAAATACATGTTTTGTTTTGTACATGCGTGGAAAATCATGAGACTGGTCTTTCAGTATATCTCAGTCAAATGTATGGCTTGGTCTGGTCTGGTCTGGTCTGATCTGTTTAAGTTTGATTTGGTCTGTTAAGTCATGTCTGGTCTCTTTGTATTTTATAACTACAGAAGGGTCTGTTTTGGTCTGTTTAAGTCTGGTCTGGTGTGATCTGGTCTAGTCCGAGACTGAAAACAGTCTAAGTAAAAACATCCTTAGATGTTTTCATATAAAAGAAATTATAATCATAAATCAAATGCAATGTTAGAAATAATTGTAATCTTATAAATTTAAAAATATTTTCAATTGGCAAGTTTATTCAAAAATCTCTTGATGAAAATATATTTAAGCATCAATTGTAATGGATATAGGAAAAATTATGAATAAGTAGAAGAAATAGAACATGTTCCCTAGGTAAAAGGTTAAAATAGAAGTATATTGAATTAATAGTGTCACTCAAAATTTAATTTTTGAATGATACAAAATTAAAATAAAATATTTGCACACAGTCCAAAATATGTAAAAATGTGAAAACCTAACCTATACACCAAATAACCAAAATAAATGTGATTTTATAGGCATTAACAAAACTCTCACCCTTTAAATTTCATTTATGCCTCGTTTGAATTATGAAATTTCAAATTTCAAATCAACAGGTGAAACTATGAGATGTGAGAATGGTAGTACGATGCTATGTTTTGTAAAATATATGCAAGTAGTTTTTTTTAAAGAATTAAAAATCTCTTACTCCATATTAATTAAATTAAATATTGTAATGGGCAAGTAGTTGATATGGTGTGGAGTCCAAAAAATTGATGTTTTTTGGTTTCCGCAAAGCAATTACGAATTTCTCCGTACTAATTAATTGTTCTTAAAGGGATGTTAAATATTGTAATACTTAACCAATCAGAAGATGACACATCAGCATTTTATAACTCAATTTTATTATATAAAACAATAGATATTTTATCCATATGTATGCATGCGAGTAATTAAGATCTTAATCTTAAATCTTAATATAAGTCTTTTAGGAAAACATCAACAACGAAAATACCAATAATAATATGATTGATATAATAATGTGAAAGATTTATATCATATCCGAAATACTCCGTATTTGGACTAGCTCTTAAAAAATAAAGATTGAAACATTTAGATCGAGTGCCTCAGCGTGTTTCGGTATGAATGAAGAAGACCGAAGTGATTAACAAACAACAATCCGGTTGAGATGATACCATAATAAAGGTGATTGAGGTGATATCATAGAATCCTAGTCCTTAGTATTTAATGTCATTATCAAATCTACAGTAGGTGGATCTTCAATACTTTTTACTAGTAAGTTTTTTCTAATTTACTCCTCTTCGAGTTCCTTAAATTACAACGAGAGCCACAAGTCATTCAGCTCATATTCAATTCATATAAAAGCATTTGAATGCAATAATGTGCGTGAGACACATGTGATATGAGAGACATAAACATACGTAGTATTAAAATAATAACGATTTTACTAAAAATAGCAACAGGTTATTTGACTAAAAACTTGAGTCAAGTTGTCTGTGAAACCGAGTCAAGTTTGTCTTTCTTTTGAATTTAATCGACTTGGAACTTTGGAAGAGCAATATAACCATGTAAAAACCCTCACTTCAGCCTATAGTATTCATTACTATTCAAAGGGTTCCAATTTTGAACTAAGAGCATATTTAAACTCAGACTTTACTCGCGTGCAAATTAAAAAGTTCATGAGATATGACTCAATTTGTTGGACCTTGATAAATATCTCGAACTTTTATAAAGTAAAAATAGAAAGCACTGTATACTTTCAAAACTGAATATGATGTCATTCAATGTGCTATAGATTCAGTATATATATGCATGCGTATGCTACAATAAGAGAATTCACTAAGACACTAAAACGGTTGTTACGTTTTAGGAGCGCTCATGATTCCAGTTCATATCTATGCTTGAACATTACTATACTTGCATGATTATTGTTTTGGTAAGTATCATTTTTTGTTATCTCCCAATAGGCAAAAAAAATTGATATATAAATTATGCCTAAAATGAAATGATTTTTTTTTTTTTTTTTTTTTTTTGCAAAAATGAAATGAACTTAAAACGCTTCAAGTGATTGAGCGCACTCTATTATTTGTAGTTAAGATGATTACAATGCATGCATAGCGAGCTTTTGCATGATTGAGAGAAATTATGAGAAGAAGATCGACTATGACGAGTTACCTAGAGTAGGAAAATTGAATACAGTCAGGGGCGGATCTAGCATTGCCATTCAGGTGGGGCCAAATTTTAATTAAATAACGCATATTGCAAAAAAATGACAAAATGTAGTAAAATACTACCTTCGTCCCTTAAAAATTTGTCATGTTTGACGTTACGGAGATTAATAAAATAAAAACTGTATGATAGAGATTTGTGCAGAGGAGCGAGAATTAACCGGAACCACAAATTTTGTACTTAAAAGGGAAAGTGGTAAAGTTAGATGGACATCCAAAAAAAATTGACAAAGTTTTAAGTGACGGAGGGAGTAGTAAAATAAAATATGTTGCAAGTTCAATGTCAAATAAAAATAAATATAATAGGTGTGGGACGTAGAGATTTTAGAAGAAAAATGAAGTTTTCACTCTACCATTGTAAAGTAAAAGAAAATATCATGCTCTACATGATCTTCGAACTTGGGATGTTGAAGTTGGTGTGGGTCTCCTCCATGTTGCTAACAAAGCATTTGTGTTCAAATTGACATTCTATGTAATTATATCATTACTTAACAACAATATATATAATATAACACCTATATATACTAGTAATTTTTTTTAGTGTGGGCCTAGGCCCGCCCTGGCCTAAGCCCAGATCCGCCCCTGAATACAGTAAATGAATCTTACCTCCAAAATTGTTAGAATAGAACTAGAGTTTTCATATACATTTTCAGTACGCGCATATATGCACAAAATGCGTTATCATTTCCATTTGCATAATAGATTTTTAATAGAAATATTTTTTGGAGAAAGTAATCTGAATGCTTTCTTTTTATTTAGGATACAACCGGACTTGACTCCAATACCAAGTTAAGATATGTGATTATATCCTAAAAGATCAATCTCAGAGGACAAGTAGTTTAAAGTCTTGTATAGCATTTTATTATTTTATATAGTTCCCATATGGGACAAGTACTTTAACAAAAACATACTCCATTTTTATTAACTTTTAATAAGAAATTTGTGCTTTATTCATATTCTAAGCAACACTAAGAGAACGTTGTGAAAGAGAAGAGATATAGAGATAGGATGGTTATTTTAATTTAGTACGCACAAATGACGGGAAAATAAAAAGATGGGAGATATAGAAAGGAATTATAAACTATATCTTTGACAATTTACACAAATGGACCTCAAACGGGATTCAATGAGCAAAAGTATACCAAAAGTGAGTTAAAAGTGATATAAAATTGAAAATTAATACTCCCCCCGTCTCAAATTGTTTTGTAAAGTCAACATTTTTTGGTCAACCAATAATAAAAGTCAAACCTTCTTATCGATAATTAATTCAATTTTTAATAATTAAAATTTACATATTCATAAACTACATTGAAATCTCTTCAAAGTTGTAAACTCCAAATTGGAATAAAATAAAAAAATTGGCATCCTAATTAAGCGAACAAAACGAACCTGTTTGACCAAGAAAAGTCAAAGTTGCAACTCAATTTGGGATGGAGGTAGTATAAATATAGAGATAGGTACGTTCTTTACTTAAAAACTACTCCTTCCGTCCCACTAAATGTGGGACAAGAGGGAGTGACACACAATTCTATAAAAAGTGGTTTATGTGGTTGATATTGAATTGATAAAGTAAGGATAAAGTAAAAATGATTTTGAACCACACAAACTTTACCAAATAAGGTACGAGACAATCTTAGTGGGACGGACCGAAATAGTAAAATGAGACAATCTTAGCGGGACGGAGGTAATATGAGATAAAAAATGGGACTCAAATGTAAAGATGTGTAAGAGACTATACCCTTTCATTGGAGATGATCTAAGACGGTAGGGTATCTAAAGAGGTTCCCCCTCCATACTCCGTACATGATAAGGAATTAAGAAGTATGTGTTCATTTTATACACATAATATCTCTACCCTCTAACTTTTGTACTATTTAAAAAGCTCTAAATTTCTAGTTGTATATTTGTCACAACAGTTTTTAAGAGTGTTTTAAAATACTACGTAGTTAATATTTTTTTAAAGCTATATTACATTTAGCATTGATTAGGTACACTAGCTTATTATACCAAACATAATTAATTTAATCATTCGGTTTTTATCAAACATATACAACTTTCTTCTTTTATGATATTTTCAAACATTAAAAGTGTAACAGTTATCAAAAGGTCCACAAAAATATCATTTCAACTATGCTCTATGTATAGTGTATATTAGTTGCAGTCTTGCAGACTTGCCGGTAGAGCTTATAATGAGCTTTGCGCTTTTAGGCTTGGGCCTAATAAGTCTTGGACCGGCTCTAACTTGTTGGGCTGAGGAAGAGGGCTGGCGATTATCCCAACAGGCCAAAACGGAGGGACGTTCAAAATATTTATAGAATTATCGATAGATGTATACACGCTACGAAGGGCTAGATGTATAACTAGGGGGCGCCATTGAATCATCTTTAAGTCGCAAGACAGAATTTCAAAGCATATATATCTATGGAAAGTGCAAATGAAATATCTTTAAGTTTGTTTTCATAAAGATACAATTTTTTACTTGAAAGTTGAAACAGTTAAGAGTAAAACGAGAACAAAATATAAGTAGAGATAAAAAGTCAATTGCTTGGAAATGCCAGTGAAATCATCTTTAAGAGGTCACACATAATTTCATCCTTAAGGAACAATCTTTTGTCACAATATTCTTAAATTAGCAGTAAAATTGAGACTAATAAATCCTAAAGAATGTTCCAAATTGACAACAAACTACTTCTAAACTAGAAAGGTCACCCTCTCACTATACTGACAACACGTGAGACTCCACAATTAAGCTAAAACTCCATAACTGATAAACAAAGAAAAAAGTCAAGGTCGGGCTCTTTTGTTGCTGCAAGATGGGCACTTGTATTGCTTGATGTGCTCGGCTCGGGCAGGGGTGATCTTCACACACTTACCGTGGAACCACTTCTCACATATGTCACAGCATATCCAAAACTCATCGGATGCATAGTTCTCTCCACAAGCTCCACACAGCGTCTCTCCGTGCTCCTCATCATCATCATCTTCTTCGTCTTCCTCGTCCAATCCTTCATCTTCATCTTTGGGAAGCGGTTTCATGTACCTTTCCTGAGTTATTTCTGGTGGCCGCTGCCCCTAATAAATAATAAATGCATAAGCAAATGAAACATGTCCATTCAGACATACTCCCTTCGAGTTCTCCGTAATCCTCAATAATCAACTTTTTATATTTTACTTGAATGCCCTTATTAAATACGGAGTGATTACTTGCTGCTATCAGTTACTAATTCTCTTTCACTCAAAAACTTTTAATGTGCACAGATTTCATACAAAGGATAGATAATAAGAACAAGAAAATTTGGTCAATCATGCCACATAAATAGGGAGGCAAGGATTATAAAATAGGTTTACATGATTAGATAAGCAACCAAGAACCAAAAGAATTAACTGAAAAGCCAGAGCTGAGACCATAGACCGATAGCATTAAAAGATATGCAACCAATTCAAGCTAGGAGCAGGGACAGATTCTGAGAATCCAATGGAACTAACATAAATTCCCTTTAGGAGAAAGGGTATAAAAGGTACCCATGCTCATTCTCGTGAATGATGATTTTGGCATTCATGTATCTTTCACTGAAAAAGATAACCAAGGTCAAAGAATTCAAATTGGTTGTTACGATCCCATATATCATTATAAGAAAAGCAATTTGATGCAACAATCAAGACCACATATAACTAGCACACACACCATTACAAGGCACAAATTTGGCACATAAGGTTTATGCTTCAAAGAAAGGAAAGAAGTACAATTTACCGGTTTAGAATTTGAATTTGACTTTGACTTGTTGCTGCTGAGATTGGAGACAGAAGATTTTTCCTTGAGCTGTTTCTTAGCAGCACCAGTCACAACTTCAAACACAGTTGGCAAGTCATTAATCATGTTGAAAAGTCTTTTCCTGCACAGTAGAAGTTTGGATGATAATTTCATTCCAAACCCAATGTTTGAGTGAAATTCTATGTATGAGAATCCAGACAGTTTTAGATTTGACTTAAACCACACTCCACAAAAAAAGATGTTCATTTTAATAATACTATGAATTCCTTACAAGATAGATGGAATTTGAACTCAAATATATGCTGATTATAGGATTGAATTCCAGAAATAAATCCAATCGAGTGGAAGAATAAGAAATACACACAACAAACAAACCCAGTTTCATGACTTCTGCACAAAGATTGCAGTTGATATAAGACTATTAAACAAAAGAAGGAGAGATAGATGTAAAGATACCTATCAGCTTTATCAAATCCAAATCTGGCACCAAAATAAAAGGAGACGGCAAGCAACCAGGCGTCACTGTGGACAGCAACTAAAGACAGCCAATCCTTTTCCTGCATCCCATCCCTGGCAAAGTTAATCCCTAGGGCAGGTTCTGGAAGCTCCGGCGGAACTTCCTCCGCCGGCAAGTTTACCTCCCACTGCTCGCTCGGAAACCCGTACAAACACAAGTTCTCCTTCTCTGCACACCCAAATAGACACATCACACTAAACCATACCCAACAACTGCAAACTAAAACATACAGAGGGAAAAAAGACTAGAACTTGCCTGGGTCACACTGCTGATAAAATTCATTCACATCTGAAACAAAAAGCCCAGAAATTAAGAAGCGAAGAATAACTATTAACAACAAAAAAAACTCGAGACGGTCAGACGGAGAGGAGGATCGAGTTGGGAAAGAACCTCTAGTGAGAGCTTTAATCAACCCGGCTCGCCGGCCCTTGAAATCTTTGAAGACTTCCTCGACCGTACGAGGATTGTACTGTCCTCCTCCGCCTACAGCTCCTTCCATTGTCGCCAGCTATGCTCTGCTTTACTGTATGGTTGACGAAATTTTGGGTACCCAAAGTTCTGTATACAAATATGGGATGGAAAAAGAAAGGAAAATGAATGTCGTGAGCTTTTCTTTTGGGGTAGGGAATCTACTGAGAGCCGGATTAAGCTCTCTACTGCTTTGTCTAGAGAGAGAAGAGGGGGGGCGGATTTGAATCTGAAAGAAGGTCACGGGTTTAATTAGATTTGAGAAAGGAGGGATGAGTCCGAAACCCGTATGTGTCACCAACTTGACCCGGATCTGAGGTTCGGGGCCCCGGGTGTGGGTCTGGTCTACCCGGCGGGAGTGAAGTGATGTGTTTTTCAGCAGCAGCAGTCAAACTGTCCTCCTATGGACTGGATGTCTTATCTCCAAGCATTTATTTCAGGATTGACTTGATTGGCTAATTTGTTAATCCAGTTTAATCTAAATAAATTGAACATACTTTAAATTTTACGGAGTAGTTTATAGATTTATCTAGCATAATAAAGGTATAAACATATATTGCCTTAACTCAAGTTCTTGCATCTCCTATAGTGATTTGTAGGAGTTTAAGGGCGACCTTAAATCTTCTTCTCAAAGGGATGTGAATCAACTATGGTGCATAGGGTTTAATAATAATGATGTTCTTTGTTTTTTAATTTAGTGTGGCGAGTAATTGAATTCAACCGTCGTACCCGTACCTCGTTAGGAGAATATCGTTCGTATAGCTGTGATGGATATCTTCATAGCTCTGCCCGATGGATATCGTTCGTATAGCTGCGGGCAATAGATATCGTTCGTATAGTTTCGATAAATATCTTCATAGCTGATAGCTCTGCGCGATGTATATCGTTTGTATAGCTGCGATGAATATCTTCATAGCTCTGCGCGATGAATATCGTTCGTATAGTTGCGATGGACTTCTTTATAGCCCCATGCGATGGATATCGTTCTGACTTCTGACAGATACGGTAGGACGGTTGAATTCAATCACTCGTCACACTAAATTGAAAAATAAAGAACATCATTTTTATTAAACCCTATGCAACATAGTAGATTCACATTCCTTTGTCAACCAAATACCTCATCTTCCATACTTCAAAACAAATTAGTGTAAGATGAAAATTTCCATCAGATACTAAAATAAAATAATGAACCAAAAAATGATAAAAATGATGTTCTTACAAAAAAATTATGTTCTTATTCCGATGTAGCGTTGAACAAAACCAAAATGATAGACTAACTAGTCGAATCAATCTAACCCAATTGAAGAAAGCTGAAACTAACAAAGATCAACCAAACTTTAGAAACATTGATTTACGAATTACGATTGATCATCTACTGTACTCCCTCCGTCCCCAATTAAATGTGTCATTTTACCATATTGGGATGTCCCTATTTAAATGTCACATACCTCATTTGGTAAAGTTTGTATGGCTCAAAATCATTCTTACTTTATTCTTACTTTATTCCTACTTTATCAATTAATATCAATCACACAAACTCACTTTTCTTAAAACTCGTGTCACTCTCTTCCGGGACTTTTAAAAGGGGACGGAGGGAGTATATTCTTTGTTAAATGACTAAAATCAACTCAACCAACCAAAACATACCAAATATAACTGAAATCACTTATGCAACTTGATCGAATGGTCTGTTTGGATTTTTCATAATTCAAAATTACAAAACTAAATCAACCTGAGGCTTACAACTCGACCCTTGTACTCGTGATTTGTCATCGTGTCCTAGTAGCCACTACTACCCCACGTCCTCACCACTGTAAAACCTTGGACACTATCCCGGTTCCACCACAATCTCAACTTGGAACTTGACATGTCAGTTAGACTTATTATCGTATCAGTTGAATGTTGAAGTTTCAAAGGCTTCTTGCATTGCAGTTTTTCCATCATCTAATACGTAATTACGTATGCAGGCACTCACATCCTGGAGAGTTGAGAGGCAAACGAAATGAGTGCTTAAGAGTTTGGATAGAAATGTTGATGACTATGATGAGTAACAAACGTTGAGTAGTGGGATCTACCAAGCAAAGAGTATATAAATGATGTGGGGCTGGGCGGCTGGTAAGATGTCACCACTAAGCAACCTAAAGGTTATTTTGATACGTGCCTCACAAGTTCTCATCATTATCGCCAAATCCGCCAATCCTTATTGGCATTAATTATCAAGGAGAGTTAATCTGTGTTTTAATCACAATCTAATGGACAAAGAGTAGGACTTGTACAGTAATATCCCGTACTTTTAAAGACACCTTGCTAAGTAACTGATTACGGTTGACCTACAACATTAACTGAGCAAGGTTGTCCTACAACATACATAATTTCCGGAAATTGAACCTGAATCTACCCTTAATGGCATTCCCTAAATTCTATCAAGCCTACGCCCATTGACCAGTGGAGTAATTGTAAAACAAGGGGAAAGTACTTACAAATTGAGCTACAATTTTGTCACAATACTACTCCGTAATATATTAGATCGCTTCAATAGTACAGAACTCCTGGAAATTTTATTACAAAATAACTGCAACAAGACATTTGAACTGGGCAAGGGCCAAGGGGGGACGAATTTGTACAAATTTCGGGGATGCTTTAAATCTATGATTACAGAGAACATTTGTAAAGACACGCATGTCCAACCAGTTACTATATATTAGTAATTGCAAATCCAACACAGAACCATAGTATGACAGACTCAATGACTGCTTTTCCGCAACACCAGAAACGCATAAAAGAGTTTTTGCTGGATGATGTGTTGTCAGCTCTTAGTGTGCAAAAAAAAAGTATTCCATCATCAGCAAAGCTTTGAAAGCTCGGAGGGTACATCGTGCTACTTTTCAGTACTTAGAAATCTCCTCTCCTGCACGGCATTTCCTGTCAAGAGTAGCACATTAATATTTACCATCTTGCTACAGATACAACTATGGACGAGAAAACTCGAGTGGTCGTTTCATTTTGTTTACATCCTTCATTTCACACTACAGCTGATAAATATGGAAGGGGCACCACTGGCACTAGAAAGCAACTTTACCTCTGTGCGGTTACTTGAAATTCTAAATAGGAAGAATATTACTAGTCACACAAAATTCAGACCCAATTCTGAAACAAAATTTTATTCAACAATGTAGTCCTCAGTGTGTGAATAATTTAAGCAACATATGCAAGAGGACTGAACTGATCCTAAATTGCCCAGTCGAGAACCAAACTGACTCGCGAAGAAAGTCGAGATTGAAATTGAGCAATAATTTGTAGTCAAGGGACCAAATCAAATATCAACTCTAGATTAAATAATACTCCGTATTAATAATGATAATGATAAGTATATTCTCAAAGCTCGAATTTTACATGAGGGTAGGTTGGCATGTAGACAACTTGACGAGGATGGCCAATGATCATCTGCTGCCCATACTGCAAAAATGTTCGAGTCCTTTTCAACTTTCACTATTCATAAGAGAATGAAGAGACAAAGCGTTCATAAGACCCCAAATGGAGACAAACCTGATGTCCATTTGGATGATAATATTGTTGCTGAGTTGAAGCAACCTGAGGGTTAAGTAGAACTGGCTGATGTCCGGCATAGGATGGTCCCATCTGCTAAGTACGTGTCATTAGAAAAAAATATAACACAACCCCCCCCCCCTAGAAATTAGCCTTGATTCACCAAGGTAAACTTCTTTATTTTAGTAATATTGGTTGTTTGTTTAGCATAATGATGAAAGCAGAAAATTAAACAATCAACGGCACCAACCGTTGCCCAAGCTCAAAGCTTAAAACTCCAATCTTATTGAATAATGAATGGTTCGAATAACCCTAACTAGGGGTTTAAATAGCCCACTAGTTACAATTAAGGTAGAAGTCTTAATTATATCATACTAGGAAACATAAATAAAATAGGAAACATAATAGATGGAAATAACTAAAGGAATTAATTAAAGCTAATTAAAATAGCTAAGCTGGCCCACGAAGGTGGGCTCAAGCCCGTCCTCGCCTACGGTAGACCAGCAAAGGCCTGGGGCTTGGATCCGGTTCCTCCGCCCCTCCCCGCTCTCTATCACATAATTAACTCCTCTAATACTTCTTTGGAAAAAATGAAAAATAGTTTCTTTGTTCAAGTAGACTTCTTTGGGATGGTAGGAGTATCTTCTTAAAATGATTACAGTCGTAAGAAACTATTTGTTACCGGCGTGGTTGGGAAATAAAAAACGAAGCATGATAAGTATGATAGTTGGAAAAATAGCATCTTTCCACCCTAGGCAATGAAGTGACCGCTGGTTCCACCGAGTGCACAAGAGGAATTATTTCTCCATAAGATTGATGGTATAATATTAGAGTAACCCTAATTCTATTACAATGCTTATATTAGGAAATTAACTAAAATAGAATATCTCTACTAGGAAACTGCAACTAATAATAACCTTGGGAAACTAAGACTAACACTTTAGGAAGCCCATAATAATAATAATGAATAATAATAGTAATAGTAATAATGGGCTTCTTCTTTCCATATCATATTGTAGTAGTGTGGGGAGCACTTCAAGTTAGTGTCAGCACTTCATGTGCCATGTCACACATTGCCCATATGCATGCTATTAGCCACATGGTATCTCACACATGTTATTATTCTATTATTACAATTGCCTAATTAAATTATAACTAAGAAATAAAATAGATTATTTTGTAGTAACACATTACATTATTTTCTCACTGGAACATATCAAATATCTATTTTGTAATCCAAAAAGTACTTAAGTAAATATAATGTCTTTACAAATACAATTATTGATTGATAAATCAATAGAATGCAATTTAAATTTGCTCATTAAAACTAGTGATCCATTCTTAAAAATGTTTGTCAAAAGTTATTTTTATTACTATAAAACATTTAACACTAAAGTATTAGAGAACATTTTAATACGAATTGATCAGCATGTACAAATGCATAACAATCTTTTGTTTTAGGCTAAAGGGTCAAATAGGCCCTTGAACTAACTTAAAGTGTTCAATTAACCCCTTATATAGGAGGTTCAGCCCGGCCATCGCCAATTGGGGAGGTTCCAGGTGGAATTTTTTGATGAATTTTTTTGAGAATCTTCTTCATTAAATCTAGTTTACCCATATCAAATTTTAGCTAAAAATTAAATCGGGAAGGCAGTCAAATGATTTTCCGAAATGTA